GGGGGGGGTAGTGTAAGGAATTTCCATTCCTTACTGAGTCGCCCGCTACCGCGTACACCCGAACACTTCGACTCATCACGTTCGGCCTACATTTTCGGCCCAACCCTTTCTCGAGTTGTGCCCGACAGCGTCGCCACATTTGCCGAACCTACCCACGTCCCGAGGTTATCGCCCTATTACGTCCACTCCTATATAACCTTGTGCTTTCATGGCAATAGTGACGACGTATTCTCATCATAGTACATTGACATCTTCTAAATCATAACAAATATGGTGATGAAAACATCACGTTGTAATGGTGGTATAAAGCTTAATCGAACATCGAATGTAGTTAACCTCTTTCGATTGACCTCGGGCACCGGTACAAGCATCTTGCCCTGCACCTGCTCTCCCTTCTCCTTCCAGTCCTTCGCTACAAGAGCAACGGCTTTGACAATACTTTGGTTCTCTCTTCCCTCCCAGCCTTCAATTCTCGCTTCCCCTGTCTCTCACAGATCTCCCACCTAAAACCCTCTCAGAATGTCAATGGTGGCCCAAGTATATGGAGCCCTGTTGCGATTGGTGTTTCCTGACTTTCCTAGTTAGCGTCAACGTTTGGGTTACGCCTTAAGCTGAGTTTGCAGTCGTGCGAGGCTTACTTTCCTCAGTGACCGTCACTATGCTGCCGCTGGATAGAATGGTGAGTCCTGATTCGCAGTTTTGCACACTCGCTGCTTTCCAATTCTTTCGAAAACATCGTCTAACCATCAGTTAGTTTCGCCTTCGTTTCCTGTCGTGTTTTGTGTGAAGGCCTTCGGACTTGAACCTCCCAGATCAGTGTTTCAAGTGGACGCCAGTTGATTCTATTCGGGATGGCACCGATTTGGTTTCTGTCGGACCTTTATCCGCAGATTCCGTATCTTCCAGGTATATTTTCGAGGTAGTTGTTCGTCTATGCTTTCGTTTCCTCCTTCCAAATTTATTGTGTCCGCGTCTCATTTTCAAATGGTGATCTTTCTCAAACTCACTGGGTTCCTTCACGCCTACCCGTTGAGTTCTTTCGACCCTTAAGATCTGGTAATGTTTTTCCTTCAAGTTATGTCGCTTCGTCTCGCCTCTGTGATTATGCAAACTGTTATTAGCTCTAGCTGATAAGCCGTGATGAGCAAAACTAGATATCCATCGGATGAGAGGCGCTGACTCAAAAGCTCCACCGTCTGTCTTCGTCTCTTGTTCTCACTCACTCTATCCTTTCTCTCACTCTCTCTAAAAATTTTCCTGGGAAAAGCAGAGGGTTTGAGTTGGGGGCATTCGCGCCGGCGTCCCCCTGGGATTGCATGTGCGCATTGCCCGCTCTGCTGCTGCTGCTCTCCTTCCCGCCGGTGGTAACCACCGTAACGGAAGCCGCAGCAGCAGTAGCAGCTGCTGCCAGCGAGGATCCCCACCCTCCCGTCATCCCCAGGCAGACCAGCCTGAAGCCTCGCATGTGCTTGGAAGCCTCGCCTTCATGCATTCATGTGATGCCTTCTGTGGTTTTGTCCCTCTGTGCCCTCTCCTTGCTGCCTCTGGTGGCTCGTGGCTTGCTGGACGGGGGATCCGCCATACATTGCCTTGAATCCCTCGCAGTGGTTTTAGCGCTTCCCATCTTTCTCTCTTCCCTTGACGTCATTTCTCTCCCTTGCCCTCGCCCTTCCTCTCCTCTTCATTACCACGCCTTCCACCAAATCTCAAGGTTTGAGACCAGTGATTAGATCACAGTTTCAATTAACCATCTTTCGGGACATATCGAGGGTTAACCACCCTCATGATGATGTCAGCTGACGAATGAGGTCTCTACGCGTACCTTTTCTTCGTACGTAATCTTCTTCCGTGTATCCCGCTGCGTCTCATCGATCGTCCATGCTCCTTGCTTGCTGCCGCTGTGCTTCTCTTTGCGCTTTCCGTGATTCGTCGAATCATTCTGTTGCATCTCTCCTTCCCTCCTTAATCCTTTCAGATGTCAATGGCTCTCTGGCCTCGAGAAACCACACGGCAGATCACACGCTGACGTGGAAGGTCCTAGAAGCTAACCTGGTAGCTGGTCGATAATAGTCAACGCCAGTGAACGCTGAAGGGGCTCCAGTCGTCATCTCCTGGCACCTGGTGTTTCGTCTTCTCCGGAGTGCGGACAATATTGCGGGCTGCATTCTTTCTCAACGCGCTCTTCCCTATGGCCCCGTTCCGCTGGTAAGTTCCTATTCCACTTTGAGAACGACCTGCTCTGAGAGGGGTTTAAGGTTTTCTGAGCGAGTGGGTTCTGCGCTGAGAAGGCTCCCCTCTGAGTGAGTGAGTAGGGTTTTGTACTGATAGGGTTTCCTCTGATGCCACCAGTGCATTGTGTTGAGGCCTCAATGATTCAAATTTGCAACCGACCGAAGCATCGCCTGATTAATCAGGCTGTTAATGCGGTGTTCTAGATCAATAACATGAGAGGTCTTGGGTTCTTTCAATCTCCTCTCTGCTGCTTTTTGGCGGAAGAGGAAAGGATATCTTGAATGGGACAAAGTGACTCGAGGTGGGGAAATTGCTCGGCAAGGAGTAACGGGGAGGGAGGGATGGGAGACATAAGGGTGTATATCTAAGGGCCGTTTATCGCCTCTGAGCCCTGAGATTTTCGTGGTTTTTCTTTCCTCTTGAGTCCTATCGCCTCTGTGATTATGCAAACTGTTATTAGCTCTAGCTGATTGCCATGATGAGAAAGACTAGATATCCATCGGATGAGAGGCGCTGACTCAAATGGTTGCTCTCTCTCTCTCCCTCTCTCTCTCTCCCCCTCTCTCTCTCTCTCTCACTCACTCACTCTCTCTCTCTCCTCACTCTCACTCACTCTCCTCATTCTCACTCACTCTCCTCTCACTCTCACTCACTCTCCTCTCACTCTCACTCACTCTCCTCACTCTCACTCACTCTCCTCTCACTCTCACTCACTCTCTCACTCTCCTCTCACTCTGACTGTATCATCTCACTCTTTTTACCCCTGCTCGCAAGCTCGCAATCCCTCAGTTCTATGTTTCTGGTTCACTCAAACGTACATCAAGTCTGTCAGTGCCTGAGACCAGTGATTAGATCACAGTTTAATTAACCATCTTTCGGGACATATCGAGGGTCATCCGCCCTCCTGATGATGTCTGCTGAGGAATGAGGTCTTCTGGTAACTTGAATCATTTAGTGGTCACTCACTATTGGTTGGAACATTTATTTATTACTTACAAATTCTTCCAATGCACAAGCATCTCTGGTGTCATGAAAGGGAGGCACGTACCTAACTGAGGTGTCCTGCTGTTGTCTCTATACTTGGTTTCATTGCAGGTCAAAGGCGGACTCATCCTGTGAAAGCTTCTGCTGTAAGGAGGACCCACATCACACATTGTTCCTGATAAGTTGAAGCTTACAAGTTTGGTGCAATATTAAATGTCGATTTGGTACCCTACATGTAACTGCCGAGTAGTGCAGATGGTGATGTCAAAATTGTTGTCACGACTCGCTTTGACACGATATAAGAAATGAGACGAGGCAATGCAGGAACCCCTAAGCTAATCCTGGTTTGTAGGATGAGACGGTTCGGGTAAAGCTTCGGAGGACCAAGTGTCAAAGCGAGATCCGAGAAGGCACAGAAGAAGGTTTGGCTCGCACGGTCAGGGTACAGTCGCAGCGGTTGACTGTTGGGGTCATACGCCCTGTAGAAGCCTCGGTAATGAATTGCTATATATGGATCCCTAAGTTCCAGCTTCGCTCAATGTGAGTGAGTTTGAGCGAAACAAATGTCAGCTTTGGGACAATGTACAGCTGTCCTTCCTTACTGTTTCGTCGAAACAGTCCAGATATTCGGACAGACTGACATTGCGAAACTCGCCTGCTCTTGCCTCCTACAGACAGTCCTACATACCAGTTGTCACGACTCGCTTTGACCACTCTAGGCGAAAAGTCGAAAATCCTTTCGGCGTATCAACTTGCCACACGTCAATGTCGTGCGGCAACTTCCTTGTTTCCTACGTGACAGCTGAGTAACCATGTGCTGAGAGAAGCTCAAACATTCCGTCCAAAGCACTCGAGCCGCGCGAGTAGCTGTAGATTTCCCGCCAAATGTTTTGTTTGCTCGGGGGATGTTACATTTCTGTATGACGATTTCGAATCACGTGAAATACAAAATCGTTTGGTAGCGTATTACAGGTGTAACGTGACACCAACCTGTCACCGAGCCTGGGTCATTTGGTGTTCGCTTGGCTCGGACCGAACCAATCAACCGCGTCCCACCACCTGCTCCGAAGGTGATGTTGGAGGGAGGCCACCTGCGGCTCCGCGTTTTGTTTGGAATCGTTCAGTTGACAGCTTCCAGCAACAGTTGGGCGAATCATGCATAGTTGGCTGAAGGATGGACACGTCAGAAGCTGCTCGGTGGCCATCGACAGTTAAGCGGTGTTCTTGTTTAGCTAAGAGCGCTGTTTGGCACTGTAGGAAAATCTCATGGAAACGCAGATTTCATTGAAGAGCCCAGCTCAAAACCCGTGGCACCAAATCCATGGATCCACTCAGAACTCACGTTTTTCGGTGGCAGGAGCTATGGTATCCTCATTGCACGTTGGCCACTGCGCCAGCTAAAACTTACCTCGGTAGAAGCTAGGATGGCAAACACGGGATGGTTTTGATGCAGTGGTGCCCCAGCCCACGATTTACGGTAACGGTTTTTGGACGGATGGTTTTCCTGGTCCGTGAGCATCGTTGACTGAGTCCACGCAGGGTCTCCTCCTACGAAGCCCCCTGGCAGCCCTCAGCGCGTCTCCGAAGAAACGAGAGGCAAGGCACGGCCGTCGGATCGTCGAGCCACATGTAAATTCATGCGAACCGTCGGATTGGAACGTGGAATGCATTGCGGCGTCTCTCGGCTCGCCTTGGCTGCACCATATAGTCTAGAGGTTGACCTGTCAACGACGCCAAAATCATTTCTTTCCCATTTCCCAACGTGGGCCGTGTGTGAATGCTTCTCCTCCCTTCTCTTGCCCCACTTATCCTTTTCTCCTCACCCAGCAACCGACCATTTTCTTTTGGTTTTGTTTTTCGAAATCCTTCCAGTACCCACGACCTCAGCGCGTTGACGATGGTCTTCCCCTAGCCTTGCTAGCTCACCCCCAATCTCACCACCGAGAGAAAGCCAGCGCAGCAAAGGAAACCCTACCGTCCATGTCATCCAGCACAGCCTGTTCGTGGAGTCCGCGCATGGACCAATACCAGCACAACCAGCAGCAACAACAGCAGCAGCAGCAGCAGCAACTTCAGCTGGCCTTGTTCCAGGAGCAACTCCTCTTGTCTCCAACCCACAGATCCCCTCACAGACCTCCCGTCAGCAACGACGCCTCTCGTCTGCCATTCCCACCCGCGCTAGATTTACCCTCCGCTGAGTTTTTTCCCGACGAGGCCTCTCCCTGCTGGATTTGGGCGCAGCAGCAGACAACCTTCGCAACGTCGTCGGCGCCAGCAATCCCCGCCGCAGGCTCCGCCGCGTTTGCCGCGCAAACAGGCCCAGCGCCAGCCATGGCGACGGCGGTGGCGACGCAAGCGACGTGGGAGACTGCTCCCGCCGCCAACTGCGGCGCAGCTAGCGCGTTCCGAACCGCACCGAACACCACCGCCGCACCCGCCGCTTCCGCTTCCTTCTGCTCCTCATCCGGCGTAACCTTCCCCACAGCCCCCGCTTCCCCTTCCTTCGCGACCACTCCTTCCGCCACTGCAGGCCTTGCGCCACCAGCTTCCGCCGCTTCCGCGCCTTCCGCCTACGCGCCTTCCGCCTCCGCGCCGTCCCCGCCTTCCCTCCCCGTGGCGCAGCTGGAGGAGCTCCTCCAGGACGAATGCGGAGTCCTCGAGATCTCCATCCCCCAGCGCCGCTTCCCCTCATCCTTCCCCCCATCCTTCCCCTCATCCGCGGGCGTGGGGAGCCTCGCGTCAACCCTCCCCACCGCGGGGACCCCCGCGGATCTGCGCGAGCAGGGGCTGCATCTATTCGCGAGCCTGCTTCCGCTTCTCTACACGCCGCGCTGCGCCGCCACCGCCGCCATCGCCGCGTCGCCCGCTGGCGAGGCGCTCAAGCGCGCGCTCGCGTCGTCGCCGACGGCTGCCGGCGTGTTCGAGGCGTTTGCCAGCCGGCCGCTGCCGTCCCCGCGCCGCTCGCGTCGCCGATGCTTTTCGAGCAGTTTCAGCAGCAGATGCAGCAATGGGCCGTGCCGCAGGTAGAGCAGCAGCCCGCGCCGCAGGTGAAGCAGCCCGAGCCGCAGGTGTCGGAGTCCGTCGCCGCGCCGCAGACGGATGAGGATATGGACGACGCGCTTCCGGAGATCGAGAGCCCGAACAGCGTCGACGTTTCGTCGCCCGACCGTGACTTTGACGAGAGTAGCCTTAACGAGAATGACTACAACGAGGTCGCGGATTCCGCCGCCATCCCCGCTGCCGCCGCCGCCGCCGCCGCCACTCCCGCCTCCTTTGCTGTTCCTATTCCGTCTCCGCCAACCGATCTACCCGCCGCTAGCGCTGTCGTCTCCGTCGCTATTCCTCTCGGCGCTCCCACCGCTACGACTGCCGCGAAGCCGGAACCAGCATCCTCGACGGAAGAACCTTCCGAGAAGGCGCAGAAGGCGCCCGCAGCGGCATCTCCGGCGGCGGCGGCTTCCCCGGCGGCTCCCGCCGAGCCGCTGGACGACGGCTACTTCTGGCGTAAGTACGGGCAGAAGGCGGCGAAGGGCGCGGCGTATCCGCGCGCGTATTTCCGCTGCGCCGTGCCCCGCTGTCCCGCCAAGAAGACGGTCGAGCGGTCGTCGGAGGATGGGAGTACGATGGAGATCGTTTACCGCGAGGAACACAATCATCCACGTGGCACTCTCCCCGGCCGCCGCGTGTCCCCCACTTCGCAGGGCGGTGCGGGAGCTGCGGGCGGAGCGTCCGGCCGCGTTTTAGTCACGGAGGAGATGGCGGGTTTTGCAGCGGGTGTGACGGGATCCCGCCTTCCCCGGTTAAGCCGCGTCAGTCCCAGCAGCAGCTTCCGCAAAACTCCGCTGTGCCGCAGCCCCAGGCTCCCCCCGCCGCCGCCGCTTCCCCCGCCTGCCCCGCTTCCGCGGATCTCGCCGCTTCCGCCTTCCCCGCCTCCGCGGATCCTTCCACCGCAGCGGGGCTCGCGCTGCTGGAGAGCCTCAGCACGGAGGATCTCGCGCGGCTCGTCTCGGCGCTTTCCTCCGACGCTATGGCTGCTGCCACCGCCGTGCTCGAAGCGGCGGTCGCCGCCGGCGTCATGGACAGCAGTTTAGGCGTCGCTGCCGCCGCCGCCGGGGCCGCCGCTGGGGGAGACGCGCACGCGCAGACCGCCGCCGCCACCGCCGCCGCCAAGGATCTCGCTGCTGCTGCTGTTAACGCCACCGCTGCAGTTACCGCCGCTACCGCTGCTGCGGAGGTGGCTCGCGGGCATATGATCCGATCCGCCTCCGACCGCGGAGCTCCGGCAGCAGCTGCAGGTTTGGCTGGAGGTTCGGCAGTAGACTCGGCAGCGGCTCGCGCGCTCCTTTTCCGGTCCGTTTCGGAACCTAAGGAGGAGTGCGATGATAATTCCTCTAGCGGGAATTACGGCGGGGAAGCCCCAGGATTCGCGGGGATTAACAGCGCAGCTGTTGCTGCGGTCGCTGCTCTTGCGCGCGGTTCCGCCTTAGCCGTCGAGCCGTCAAGTTGCAGCACGGGAAGCGCTAATAGCACGGGTAGCCGTCAAAAGCGCCGGTCGATGGAAGAAGAGAACACCGTCAGCCCAACATCCCCTAATCTTCACTCTGTGCCTTTAACGAAGGGTGCCTCCGCCGCGTTTAGCGAGGGTGGGAACGCCCCGGGAAGCATTTCCCCCGCTGGGGGCAGCGGCGGAAGGGGAAAAAGGTTGCGCACTGGAGGGAATTCCGGCGGGAGGGGGAGCGGGGGGCGCGGAAGCGGAAGCGGAAGCGGGGAGCAAACGCAGACGGACAGACGGTTACGATGACGGTCGTGCAGGTCGAGGGAACCGGTCGCGATGTGGTTGGCGACGTGGAGGATGGTTACCGCTGGCGAAAATATGGCCAAAAGGCGATAAAAGCGAGCCCTTATGAAAGAAGTTACTTTAGGTGTAGCAAGGAGGGTTGCGGTGCACGACGGGTTATCGAAAGGTGCCCGGAGCAGCCCGAAGACGAGAGTGTAGCTGCGACACATACGAATCTGCTCGTGACTTATATCGGGGAGCATTCGCACGCGCGGCCGTTCCGAGCCAAGGTGATCTACAAGCCCGTTCTTGATGCTTCTCAGGAACCTTCCCTAGAGGAGAAACCCTCTGCTGACGTCAGCACTGCAGTAAACCCTAATGCTGCCGGTACTGCGTTGGGTTCTCCTGCTGTTCCGCAGACGCAGCATGAGCGAGCCTGTGAGCCGGAGATAACTGGAGCTGTAGGGGAGATGCAGGACAGGGGGGAAGCAGGCAGTGGTGCAGGCATGCAGCAGATGGCCATGCCACACCTGCAGGAGCTGAAAATCGAAGATTTCTCCTTTGACGACCTTCCCAGGCTATGGTGAAGCTTTCTACAGTGATGCTGATGGTTATAACGAATCAGCCAAGGCTGTTCTTATGGCATCAGGGACTGGGTTTCGGGTTTTTGTTCAGGGTTTAGTTCTAAGGCATGTACAGCCTTCCATCCATCCACCCGCTCTGGCTGTGGGGACGGATGGCAGGCTGTACCCCTTATAAGTTGGTGTTCTTACCGTTTCTGTGCTACTTTGCTGGCTAGTACAGCCTTCCATCCATCCGCCCCCTGTGTGTGCGGATGGATGGCAGGCTGTACCACTCTCTTTGTTATGATTTCTGCTATTTTCTATGCTATATTTGAACTTGAAACCCCCGAGTCATTGGTACAGGAACACACCAAACGATTGAAGCCCTTCGGCAGAAAAAACGTAGGGGCACCCAACCAGGGCTCCCGTTATCAGACCAAATCGGTCTGATGGTCTGAAAATCAGACCGGGTTTTTATGTTTCATCTGATTTTTTTACGAGCCAAATATATTCGTCTGATCGTTCAGACAAGTTATAAGAATTCGTCTGAAACATTGTTGGAAATATCTCAAGGACTTAAGCGTTTCTGAAGTGTAACACTGTACTCGAGGAAGATTACAGGGGAGCACGCGAGTCAACGGAGGTTACACGAGGGGGCGGACAAAGAATGCGAAAGGACTCGAAAGGTCGCAACTGGAGGTTGCGACTGACCGTTACAACATCACGGATGGTAACCGAAGCGGCATCGAGTCGCTGTGCGACTCGATAAACCGTTCCTGTAACTGTATTCTACAACTGCTTTCTTATCTTCTATATATTGCTGTATGCTTGTTTCTTTAATCAATCACTTGTTCTCACATACTAGTACAAGGGTTCAACTGCCTCAACTTCCGCTGCACTACTCCCAATCTCAAGTCTCTACAGCTGGGACTTAGTCTCTGCAAAAGATCCTAAGGGCTTTTTCAGCCCAACATGGTATGAGAGCTGGTCAGAGATCAAAACTCCCAGCAACTACACTCCATCAACAACCAGCAACTCAACTTGATTCAACAACTCCATTGATTACAAGACATGGACAACAAGGGCAAGAAAGTCTCTACGGGCTCACCAGCGCCCAAGAAACTCAACACGGCAACTCTGGTCTGCACACCTCAGGACTGCAGACAGAGACCGGGACTACTCAAGAAACAACGGGAAGAGTACCAGAGATGGTGACTCCGTCTCCCTCTTCAAGTGTGGACCCGAATCTCATGGAGAGATCTTCAGCTTCATGTCACACTTCGACCAGCAGCAGCAGACAAGGACACCTGCGCACTCAACACAGAGCAATGGAGGGAATATGGGATTAGCGCCGATGAGCCTCGACAACTCATCCTTCGGGCGACACCACCAAGCGCCTACCTTTGCGCCTTATCATTCTTCGCCGGGGACGTTCGAATTCATGCCGCCCCGTGCCCAGCCAACAGCAGCTGCTTCACAACAAACACCGAATGAAATCTTAAGTTTACAGGCGCAGTTCTCACACGTGATCAAACTTCAGACATCCTCACCGTTCAACGGACACGACTTCTTTACCTGGAGCTTCGAGTTTGAGCTGCTGATGGAGGCCGCGCATCTTCTGGGATACTTCAACGGGTCCCTGCCATTCCCAAGCAACGGCACTGGGAAGGAACAAGAGATCTTCACGTATCAGTCGCTGCTGGCGTACACGGTACTCCTGAGAAACCTGTCACCACAAGAGCAGCAGAGCATCAGAACGTATCGGAGTTATGGAAACTCCGCGGAGCTCGCATGGCACCACCTCAAATGCCTTTACCAAGCAAACGACAGCGTGACACAAAGCAGACTCATGCAACAGCTGACAACAATACAGATGAAGACCGGGGAAAAGGCGATGCAGTATATGAGTCGCTGCCAGACCCTCCGCGACCGCCTGCTTCGGTGCGGAGGAACGATCACTGAAGAAAGCTTCGTGACACTTGTCCTCGCCGGGCTCGGGCCAGAATGGAGAACCACACGATCACTTCTTCGAGCCCACGGAAGAATTTCGGAGATGCACCTCTGCGCCGAGCTTCACGCTGAACAACAGGAGATGGATCTGTTCGAGGAAAGACAACCAAGGAAGCAACAGCAGTTAGTCTTCTACACTCAAAGAAGAAATGACAACAACTACAACCGACGCAGCAAGCAAGATCAACGCGACAACCGAGGACTCACCATCGTGCCGCCGTTCTGCCACAACTGTCAGACTTCCGGGCACTCCAAGGTCAACTGCAACCGCCCTCGCGTTTACCGTGCAGCAGACCCACAAGTCGCTTCCACTCAAGCAAGTCCTCCAAGGCGCTCTTCAACATCTGCACAACAAACACCCAACATCATCAACTGCATGGTACACATCGACAACTGCGCACCCGCTTCACCACCCACTTACGCACCAGACGAAGAGGAATTCCCGCCGCCGCGCTCGCAAGGACTTCAGGTCAACCCGACATACGCTGCAGTCGCTAACGCCGAACCCACCGGGCGGAACACCTGGTTCTTGGACAGTTGCTGCGGTCAGCACATGTGCTCCTCCGGACGCTTCGTACAACACGAGCGACGCCTCAACCGCGACGTCGTCATCACCGTCGCCAACAACGAAAACCTGAAAACAAACAGGCAAGGCGTGGTTCAGTTACAATCAATGGAGACAAACGTTATTCTTCAGCTCAACAAAGTCCTCATCGTCGACAATCTGGGATACAACCTACTAAGCGTAAGCCAACTAATGGCTAAGGGGATTCACCTGGAGTGCGACTCCTTCTCCAACGAGTTCCGACTTTACCACGGGAAGGGCGGTCTCTTCATCGGTCGTGCCCTCCTGAAGTCCGGTGTCTTCGTGTTGGACTTCGTCCCCGACCGCGGAACTGCCGACAGCGATGGCATCGTATCGTTCGCCGCCTGGACTCACCCACCAGATCTTGATCCCGACTTCGACAGTGACGGCTTCTGGCACTCCAACACCATACCTGCAGCAGAGAGAACACGGGCATTAGCAGTTATCAGACAAGAAAGACAAGTACCAGCAAGCGTCCCAACAAAACCATCACCTGCAGTATCGGCAGCAGGACCCAGCCGAGTACCACCACCATCAACACGAGGACCGCCAACGGAAGCAGACCAACTTATGCCCGCCACACGAGAAGCTTGTCGAAGTCCCGCCTCGGTCGTCGCGTTCTTCTCCAACGCCGACATCTACCACCGCTCGCCCGGTCACCGCGCTCCCGACGACATCTGGCACCAACGTCTCGGACATCCTGCAAACATCACGATACTACAAACAATACAAGCAGAGGTGTTAGAACGTAACGCCCTTCTAACGACGAGCGGCCAAGAACTTCGCCGACCAAGAGCACGATGCTTCACGTGCCCCGAAGCAGATCTTCCTCATCAACCTTTCCCAGCCCATCACAATCCACGCGCACCCACTTACGCTCCGATGGAAAAGGTCTACAGCGATATTCTAAACATGCCTCGAGACGACACCGAAGCCGACTTCAACTACGTCATCACGTTCATCGACGCCGCAACCAGATACGTCTGGCACTTCAATCTCAAAACGCGCGATCAAGCCTTCGAGGCCTTCACCACATGGCTTCCAATCGCCGAACGAGAGTCAGGAACCAAACTCAAGAGTTTCCAGTCAGACGGTGCACTGGAATACCAGTCACAACGCTTCAGGACCTATCCGACGCCTGGTGTCTCTGCCCTATGCTCACCAGCAGCAGGGGGTAGCAGAACGCATGAACCGGACCTTGCAGACGACGATGCGAAAACTGCTTCTGGGGATGAGGCTGCCCAATACACTGTGGCCAGACGCGATGACACATGCAGTCCACCTGCACAACCTGTTGTCCTCGTCATCGCTCCCCAACAACGCATCACCGCACCTGCTGTGGACGGGAAAAAGGGGCAGCACAAAATTACTTCGAGTTTTCGGCTGCATGGTACAATACAGACCCCACACAGCTCGAGCAGGACGCTTCACTCAACGAGCTCGGTGGGGACTACACCTCGGCATCGCCAAACATTTTCACGCGTGGAAGATTCTCGACATACACGACAAAAATACGGTGGCATCACGTGATGTTATCTTCTACGAGCGACTGACGCTGCAGCATTACCTGGACAACATTGCCAACTCAGACGACCCCACCGACGGCTTCGCGGGCCTTCGCTCCTTCGCTGACCATGCTGCCGAGGCTGACGCAGCAGAAGAAGACGTCCCTGGAGCCTCGGCGGCTGCCGGACCACTCCCCTACTGCTCCGTACCTGTTCCACTCGATGAAGATAATCCCCTCGATAGCAACAACCTCGACACCTTTTACCACTTCGCTGACCAAGGCTACGCTACACCACACCCCGTCGACTCGAATATTTCCGAACGCATCGGGCCAAACTTCTTACCCGATCCTGAAGACGGTGATGAAGCAGCTTATCCCGAGAATGAAAACTCCCCTCGACACACAGCCACGGGACTGCAGATCCTAGGACTATGGGTCTCCGTCCAGCACCCGCCGCCGCCTTCTCCGCGCGAGCCGTCGACCCTGTCGCAGGCTCTGGGGGGGGAACATAAGGCACAATGGAAGGAAGCGATGGAAAAAGAGTTAAAAGCTCTGCAAGACCGAGAAACATGGAAACTGGTACCTGCAACGAGCATCAACGGGAAGAACATTCTCTCGGGGAAATGGGTGTACCGCATCAAGACCAACTCAGACGGCTCCATCGAACGATTCAAAGCTCGATGGGTCGTACGAGGCTTCGATCAACGATACGGAACCGACTACACAGAAACCTTCGCTCCAGTCTCCCGTCACACCTCTCTGCGCATCCTACTCGCCATCGCGGCCACGAAGAAACTACCACTACGGCAAATCGACGTTGCAAACGCCTTCTTGTACGCACCTGTGGACGCCGAAATCTTCGTCGAACAACCCCACGGATTCATCGACGACCCTTCAAAAGTATGCCAGCTGGAAAAATCCCTTTACGGGATCAAGCAAGCCCCACGGCTCTGGCAGCAGCACCTTCACGGCCGGCTCGTAAAAATCGGATTCCTACAGCTACCACATGACCAAGGCATGTACCGACTACAGAAGGGAAGAGATTACATTCTGCTCATCGTCTACGTCGACGACCTGCTCTACATCGGTTCTACCACCGACATCGTCACCTGGTTCGAAGGGGAGCTGAAAAGGGACCTGACGCTCACGGTGTCCGACGAAGTTACCCAGTACCTAGGACTGAACATCGTCGAAGACGACACGGCGTTCTACCTACACGCTGGAAAGTACTCAAGCACCGTCGCGA